TTCCTATTTCTTAATATTTTATTTAGTTTCTGGAAAACATCTTTCATTATTACTACATGTCACCAATTTCTGTGTTACATTTCTGTTGTCTGTTACTACACTGCCTAGATAGTTAAATTTCTGTACCTGCTTGATTTTGATATCTTCAATACATAACTTACAATTTGGGCTGTTTCTTTTGATGGTGACAATGAATTCTGTCTTCTTACAGTAAATAGGCTATTGTTGTTTTCCATTATTATTTTATCCAAAACTCCTTGCAGTTACCAGTCCATAACTAGAATCAGCCAACCATTTTCAAATTTCAGCTGGAGCTGCTTATGTTTACTTCGCCATTATACCTCTGGGGAAGGCATGAACTGGCTCCTTCTTGTATAATCTGTCAACAGGAAATATCTTGATAAAATCCCACATTACAAGCATGATACAATGATTAACAGAAAAGAGAGGAAAAAGTGAGCACAGGCATAAAAAAAACCTTCATATATCTACCTCAACTACCCAGGTACTACTAGTGCAAAGCTGTTACACTTATAGCTATCCTTGACATAGTACAAAAATCTCAAGTGCTGCTCAGCATAGAGTAATGATCAGCAGTGCTAGTCTGGTTGACAATTATTACTGAGTAATGAATTCAATCTCCACTGGGTGCCTCATATTTGTGGCCTTGTGCCAGACTAAGCTAAGCCTTCAAAACAACAATCTAACTTTCATTATGTGCATCATTACTACTGACCAGTGATTTTGATCCCCACTGGGTGCCTCATATTTGTGGCCTTGTGCCAGACTAACCTAAGCCTTCAAAACAACAACCTAATTTTCCTTACTACTGAGTAGTGACTTTGATCCTTACTGGTTTCCCTATATGCTTGACCTTGTAGTAAATTAAACTTAGATTATTAAACAACAACTTGATCTTCATTATGGATGCCATTACTGCTGATTAGTGAGTTTGATCCTCACTTAGTGGCCCATACTTGTGGCCTTGTGACTTAAGCTAAGCTAAACTCATTAAACAAAAATATAATTCTTATTATATATGCCTCAGGTGAGGTAATGGTTAGCAAGACTAATCTGGTTGACTTAGTAGTGAGTGTGTTCCTCACTAGGCACCCCATATAAAAATTCAATACCAAATAACCCAACAAAGGTTAACATTGCTTTTTTTTTTAAACATAATCATCCTTACTATTAATCTTATTATATTCCATCCCATTACATTTACTGAGTTAATCCTTGTTGGATGATCAAGAAGTCTCCCATGACAAAATTATGATTAAAATTTTTCACTCTCAAGAAAGCTCCAGAAAATTACTCAGGAATAAACACAGTAACTGTTACATTTTTTTTGTGTGTCTTGTCCCTTCAGGATATAGGCGAGCATGGCCCTCCACATTTTCCTGTCCCTTGTAGCTCTTAATAAGTCTTGTCTTTTTGTTACTTCTCCCAAACCCTGTTCTACCATCCATTTGTTCAAGCTCATCAAATATGTTATGCACTGCTCTTCTCTGTCCTGTGAGCATCATGTTTTTCAAGCTTTCTTTCCTCATTATGTGTACCTGAAATTTCAACTGCCTCTTCCTTTTTGTTTCCATTTTCTCCAAAACCATGTTGTTGTTCATACAATCGGTCCATGGTATCCTCAGCATCTTTCTGTAGAACCACATTTCTTTTGTTTCAGATCTCTTCTTCATCTTTGAAGAGATTGTCCAGTATTCACTGCTATATAGTTGGACAGATATTGTGTAATTTCAGTACTGTTTTCTTTGTTTCTAACAAAATTCTTCTGTCTCTTAATACTCTGCTTAGTTTTTGGAATGCATCTTTGACCATCTCAATACATCATCAGATCTCAGTGTCATGGTTTCTATCCTCTGTTAGAACACTTCCCAGATATTTAAATTTCTTTAATTTGATTTTAGTATCCCCGATTTGTAATTTTCATTTTGGGATCATCCTTTTGCTGATAACCATGCATTCTTTGTTCTTGTAGTTTATACTTAGTCATTTCTTCTCACACTTTTCTTATAAAAATGAAATAGCAATGAAGGGTTCTAATCTAATACTGACTTCAGTTATCTCCCTTTACTGTACCTCTTTAATTTTGTATATATCTTTGACTATAGCTTTCTTCACTTTTTTTCTATCATTTTTCTTGTCCAATAGATTAATATTTACTTTAAGTGAGGCTCACCCTGTACAAGGCCTATGGGCCACTCAAGGTAGAGTGTTACAGAGTAAGAAGCACATTTTATGTAGATAGATGGGGAAGATAACAGTCAACCTTAGATTTGAACAGGTTAAGATTATAGTGATTGGTGAAATATCCTCTTGGTTGTTAGTTCCACAGTGCAGTGGTTTGTGGTAATATGCTACTCTAGTCGAACTTATATACATAGGGAATGAGGAGAGTTTGCTATAATGTTAGTGGTATAATTTTTCATCTACAAGAAAGTGGAGACACTTTTGAACTCTATTGAGAGTGGAAAGTGAGGACTGGGCAGCTCTTGCCCAAATATGATAGCGGTATTCCATTTTTGGCCTGATCTGGCTTTTGTAAAGGTAGAAGACAGTCAGGTACTTACTGGATCATTCCAGAGGACTGACCATTTTTCCTGCATCCTTAGCAACAGATTATATGTATCAATTCCATTTGAAGTCTGGGGTGAATTTAAGGCACAATTAACACTCAAGAAATGAGGCCACCACAAGGGGACATCCATTCATTATGACTGGTGTTCGTTTGGGGTCTGATCAGCAATGATAGAATGTAACCAGCCAGTTTATCCCCTACTGAGATGTTAAAGCTAGATTGGATGAGACATCAGCTGCCAATCTCTGGTCACCACTAGTTTTAGAGGTGTACTCATATACCATTGTCTTATTGGCATAGATATTCATAAATGATCTGAGTATACTCTTAAGCAGATCATTTATGTAAAGTAAAAAAGGGTTGGTTCAAGAAGAGACTCCTCGCCCCGGGGTCACCTGTGTTGATTTCTAGAGAACTGGCTGTTAACAACTACCTTCAGGGACCTACCTTTAGGAAGGACTTTATTATTAAGATGACTCTTTCAGTGATTCTAGAAAGCTTGAGCAGCAATTCATTATGCCACACTTTGTCAAAGGCCTTCAAAATATCTAATGCTATGGTCTTTGTATTGTATTTGTTCACTAGTGCCTCACTGATTCTATGAATGAGGGTAGCTAGGAAATCAGTAGTGGATTGGACTAATCAAAACCGATACTCCTTGTTGCTCAATAGACTGTTCTTACCTTTGTACTCAACAACATTCTTGTTGTATATGGCCTCAAAAAACTCACAAACAATACCTAGGAAACTGATAGGTCTATACTGAGAAGGGATCAGTGCTCAGCTGCATTATTGTAAACCAGGCATATGCTTGACACTTACCCCAGGGCTTGGGGAGGATTTCTTCTTCAAGCAGACATTAAATAACTTCACAAGGATTGGGAATAGTTCCTGATTGATATTCTTAAGGACAACTATTGCAATTTTGTCATGATCAGTGGCTTTCTTAGGGTCAAGCCTTTTGGTAAGTCTTGAGACTTCTCAAGCTGAAATGAAAATATCGCCAGATTGTGCTCAAAGAGACATGTGAAATTGGAAAGGAAATGGCTTTTGTCATTTCACATTGAATTTGAAGAAAAGATTGAGGTGAAGTGTTTCGCCTTATCTGTCAAGCAAAATATAACCTTGGGGCCATTTATGATAATGAGCGCAGCCACTTTGCCTCTATTCATAATTTGGCTGATGATCTTCCTGAACTCTTAGGATCCAATTTGTTTCTTTTCAACCTTGGCCTGAACTGCCTGTGCCTAGCGCTATAGTTTGCATTTTCCAGAATTTTTCTTGCAGTGACTGCAGTTAGTTCTAGATGCACTTAGACTCAAACTATACTGCCTCTGCAATAATTATTGAAATACATTTACCAATTCTTTGAAAGGTCTTCAGATTTAACTGAATTTGGATTTCTAATAGTTTTTCAACCCTTTGTGGATTATTTAAAGCTGAAACATTTTTTTTGAATTGTAAGGATAATTATTTTTTCTGAGTGAATATTGCAGTGAAATTTTTTAGACAACAATGATTATTCCAGATACAAGTCCTGCTATTAACCCCATACCTGAGGGAAAGAAATGGATTCATGCCTTTCCCAAGGGTATTTGCATGTAAGCAAATGTAATGAATCCAAGTAGAATTTGAACTTGACTCTTCATGCTCTCATTCAGAACAGCTATCCATTACATCACCCACATATCCTAGATTTAACTGAACCAAATTTTAATGACAACTCAAATCAGTAATCAGTTTGATTGAAAATTACATGTTTATTTAAGATTACATCTTACTCATCAGGCCTCAACTCAGGTACATTTGTTCTTTAATTTTTTGAAATAATTCTTCTAGATTTGAGAGTGGGAGACAGAATAATGTGTATTTATTTTGGAAACAGAAGTTGGTAAGTTGTAATTCCATCCAAGACTATTTTGATTACCACATTAAATGGTGTAAAAATCTATGTTTATCATAGTTTCCAAGCCTCAACCAGAACAGTTTACTGTTTTTATTATGGTAATGGTTGCCATTTCCTAATCTGGTAATATTTGGCATTCATTGACCAAACAGCCAGTGTTACTTTAGATTGAACTTTATAAAATCTTTCTATTAAAACAATTTTTTGGGATGCTAAGAGTTTCTTTTCTTACACTTTTTTCTTGTAGAACTTTCTTCTGGCTTCTTGCTTTCCAGTGAAGTTTGATCTTCAATAATTTAAGTGCAATGTCAATTGCTATCTTCTGTCTTCTTAATTCCACTTCTTTTGTTGTTTTCTCTCCTTAATAATGTTATTCTTTCACACTCATTAACCTCCTGCCTGTTAGTGGCTGTGTTTGGGGTGAAATGATTATAAACAAAACAGATATCTGAAAATCAGTAACTGTTATTGCTCTTTCCAATATTGATGGGAGCTTCCTTTCTAACATTTTGTTTGAAGTAGAGTGGAATTTTTTGCTGCTGTTGAAAAGATAGATAGATAGATAGATAGATAGATAGATAGATAGATAGAAAGAAAGAAAGAAACAGTGAGATAAATTGATTGAGAGAGAGGGGAGGAGAGATAATGAACAGAATGAGATAGGTAGATAGGTATGAACAAAGATTGATAGAGAGAGATAATGGACAGAATTTGATAGATAGATATGAACGGACTGAGATAGACTGATAAAGAGAGAGAGAGGAAGGTGAGATAATGAAGAGAATTAGATAGATAGATAGATAATGAACAGATAGATTGAGAGAGAGAGGTGGGGAAAGAGAGAAAATGAACAGAATTTGATAGATATGAACAGACAAATTCATGAAAAGAGAAGGGAGGTGAGATAATGAAGAGAATTACATAGATAGATATGAACAGAGTGAGAATTAGAGAGATAGATAGATAGATAGATAGATAGATAGAGATGAGTGACAGATTGATTGAGAGGGGAGGAGGAGACATAATGAACAGAATGAGATTGACAGATAGATATGAACAAAGATAAATTGATAGAAAGAGATAAAGAGAATGAACAGAATTTGATAGATAGATAGATAGATAGATAGATAGATAGATAGATAGATAGATAGATAGATAGATAGAATGCTTGGCTAATCATAAAAATGTTTATGATGGGTACATGCCATCACTGTTTTCATTGTGATTCCAGATCATATTTTCTGCTTTGGAAAGGTTTATGAGGAAACATTTGGCCTTCATTGACCAGCAGCTAGTTCAACTGTCAGTTGATATTCATAAAATCTTTCGCTTGAAACAATTTTTCAGGAAAACAGGTTTCTCAGGTCCAGTAGCTTTTATCACTCTTTACCCACCATATTGAAACTTTTCTGCTTCCTATCAGCATGGCTGATGCTCAACTTCACGAGAGCATCTCTCTGCATCTTCTTGGTCTCAAGTTTTCCACTGACCTGAGGTGGAACAACTACATGAATCAATAGCTTCATCCACCACAAGGACAGTTGATTCTCTGTGTTGTGCCAGGTTTTTCTTGTCTGAGTCCATCCTTCAAGTCCACAATTCTACCATTTGTTCTTGCATTGAATACTGTTGCCATATATGGTCTGGTGCCCTCAATTGTTCATCTCGAGGTTCTCAACAAAATCCAAAGGCAGATATACAATGTAATAGGTCCTGACCCAGCATCTCGACCTCAGTCCCTTTCTTACAGACATGATGTGACTTCTTTCTGTCTTTTCTACAAATATTTTCATTGTAACAGCTCTGACAAGCTATTTTCACTGGTGCCCTCACTGCATGAATTTAAGCCTGCTACTAGGTTGGCATCTCAGTGCCACTCTTTCATTGTCAAAACAGTTAAATCTAACTGCCTCTTCTACTCCAACAGCTTCTTCTCTTGCACTTCCTGACAATGGAACTCCCTTCCTCTTACATGCTTTCCTGATAGCTATAATCTTCAAATATTCAAATGTAATATCAATCGACATCTTCTGATGCCTTGATCTTGATCCCCATCCTTCTCTTTATCTTTTCCTCAAACACCCATCTTTATTTTTTTCACTCTTTGTAAGCCCTTGCATGCTCGTTGCACTTCGGCCTTGCTTGGGGTGAAATGCTTAAAAAAAGTTTTCATGTTATATGTGCTATGCATTTTATCTGTTGCTGCTGTTGAAAGTCCTCAAGTAATGCAGTTTCTGCTATTTGATACAGTTCTTTGTTTGTGATTCTGCAGTACGAGTCCACAAGGTTCAACATTTTATTGTACGATAAAGTGTTTCCATCAGCCTACACACTTCAAGCTTCAAGACTGAAACTGTTTAAACACAAATACTGTAAGCTTATATCCTAGCCAAACTGAGACATTTTGTAAGATGAGAAGACAATTTCCCCCCGAAAATAAATGAAAAATATCTCCTGGATTTTATATTTTAAAGTTGAGCTATTCTCGTCTGGTAGACTACTGTTTACCCAGACACCACAGTCTACCAATAATAGTCACTATTCTAATACCATAATATGGCAACACTATTATCTCTCATTATAATCATCATCATTACTATCATCATCATTATCTACTTTTTTCTTCTGTTCAGCCGAATCTCTTACCAGGTCATTAACCGAGTCCTGTGGTAAGGTAGTAAATATATGCATTCTTTTCAAACATTGTTTATATTTTCTTTACATTAATAATACTCTCTTGAGTAGATGAACAATTCTACACTGTGCAGTTTTTTAAACTCTTGTAAACAGAGGCTGCCAGACATTTGGTTAATGTTCTTGTTTGCATCTTTCTTGATACTACCCAAGTCTCCATTTTTTTTTTGTTTTTTAATCATTTCATCCTAAAGAAGGTGATAAAGCCACTAAGATGCAAGGGGGGGGTTACTGAGTGAGAAAGAAACTAAACAAAATGTTATCAAGCAGAGAGGACAATAAAAGTACAGGTTTCAAGGAAACAGAAAATGATGATTGAGATTTAAATTTTTGAAGACCATAGTTGACAGGACAGCAAGAAACCAGAAGAGAATTTTACAAGTGAAATGTGTTAGTGTTGTAACCTAGGAAAGGTTACTGAATAGAATAATAGGTTGGTAATGAACGATAATACTTAGAGCACGAACAACACATATAAGATTTGCCAGCAATGTGTAGAAGAAGTAATCAACTGCTAGAAGTGAGTCAAGTGATTTCCACAATGAATCTCCAACTGCAGACCAACATACAGTATTTACTATTGTATTTATGTGAATGGGGACATACCCATTATTGTCCATAGATATGCTACAACAGTTAGAGAATAAACTATTAACATAAAATTTATGGTTACAACTAGCAATAATGAGTCATAACTGCCAATCTAGTATTGCAGTTAAATTCATGAAGTCTAGGCACCAAAGAAGAAAGCTCGTCAGAACAATTACCATGAAAGTATTTAAAGAAAAGATACTGGGAAGCTACGTTGCAGCAGTAGGAAAGGGACTTAAGTTAAGATTCCAGGTTAGGACTGATAATGTTGGAGATTCTTCTTTGCAATCTGACTAAAAATCTTTTAATACATAGCAGAAGCATCAGCAATTGTCAATGCAGAGATGAATGTACAAGTTATAAATGTGTCAGATTCTGGTGAGAAAAACTGTCTAGCATGACACAGTAAACCAACATATCCCAGCAGTAGACCTAGCAATTGATTCAGTATAATCATTTGTCATTGAAAGATGTTAGACAAATGAGAGGCAATGAATTACTCTCCTGGAGGTTAGCATCAACTATAATGATGAAATCCAAAAAAGGTTCTCTTTTACATTTAAAGGAAAACAGTTTTCTTTTGGAGATTTTAAATTTAACAGATCATTTCTGAGATCATTTGCCAATTTGAATTTACTGAACCTATCAGACTTACCATTAAGACAGGAACAAAGTGATAATTATAATAGGCCTAGCAGCCATGCATCTGGAGTCTATGCCTGGGTGTAATCATATAGAGACTTAATTTACTACTAAATAATAATTAGAGAACATTTTTAGCAAATAACTTGTTAGATATTATCAGTACACATAATTTTAATAATACAACAAATATTTTCAAGGTAATTGTTCTGATGTGCTTTCCTTATTGGTGCATGAATTTAAACCTGATACTAGATCGGTCTCACTGTTGAACTATCTAGATGCAAGCATATGTTCTATTCTAATAGTTTATTTTCTCAATTATGGAAGCCTCTCCTGATTCTTGCTTCCCTTCAACCATTTAAATGCAATGTCAATTGCCATCTCCTGTCTTTGTTCTTTTATTGTCCTTTCTTCTCACTTCTCCTCACTAAAGTCTTCTCATTCTCTGACTTTCAGTCATCCATTGCATCTTAGTATTATTGTCTTGCATGGGGTGAAATGATTAAAAAGTAATAATAATAATTAAAATCACTAACCAGAACAAAATAGTTAAGCAGGATAATTTGTTTTGAGTTAGCCAATTTATTATATGTAAAAAGGTGTCAAATTAAATATAAAAATTACCTGGGAAATGTTTCTCCATATGGATGCCATTTCTTTTAATATAGCTTCATAAACATAGATGTAATACTTGAAAAAAGATGAACTTTTAATACTAAGACTTAATGAGACTTGTACAAGGGAATTTCTAGGTCTTTGAGTTGCTTTCAGTCAGTTAAGTACCATATGTGATGTACATTTGAGCAATCATATCTCTTTCAATTTATGACTGACTAGGCAGAAGATTTTTCTGCAGTAGGTTGCCATTTCTTTCTGTGGTAGACTGTTTGCCAACAAAGGCTATAGGACCCAGTCTGCCCTGCTGTTCAACCCATAGCTGGAGGGAGAAGAAATGGATTCCCAAGGGGATTTATGTGTAACCTGACTGGAAATTGAACTCTGCTCTCCAATTTCTCATTTGGAACTGATATCCATTACAACACTCCCACATCGTGAGTTGCCTTAGTAGAATCAAACAAGCAATAATTTTGGAAAAAATATATTTCACAGTATAATCTCATACTTTGTTTTCTTATTGAAATCATGCATTCAGAATCTAATATCCAGATATTTGTCTACAATTTCTTACAAGTTTTTTTTTTAATTTAGCAACGCCAAATATTATAAAACAACAAAATATCCACTGAACTGTGGCATCCAGTAGAATATTTAAATTACCAAAATCTATTTTTCTAAAAAAATTTCCATATTCTTGAAAATAAAAAAAATTGTATCAGAATTAAATATTTCTTTTTTGGTAGGACAATATTTTAACATAGTCTGCTATATGCAAAACTGACATTTTAATATCTTTAGGGATCCTATTTTCAAGGTCCTGTAAATTATCAAATGTTTGGCATGATATTTCAACAAGAAAACATTCATATTTTGAGCAATTATAGCCTGGATCAAAGTTGTGCTCTTCAAAACATCAACATTCAGTTAAAGAAGTAATTTAGTTTTTTTCCATATTCAATTTTTCAATAACAATTTTCTGTTAGAAAATATGCACTGATTAATAAAAATCATTTTTTTTTTCTGTTTTTTTTTTTAATATTTGTGATCTACATTGCCTAATCTAGGAAAAGTAATTATAAAAAAATTAATTATTTCTAATCATAGTGCCTATTGTACAATGCCATAAAGTTATATATCAGTGATATTATTGATCCTGATCTGGCAACTCGGCTACAATCACTTGCCCACTGCCATAAGTTTGCCTCTCTGTGCCTTTTTTTATAAATATTTTCATAGTAATTTTTTGAAGGAGTTCTTTGCTATGGTACGTAGACTTGTATGAATTTAAGTGCAATACTAGACTGGTGAGAAGATCTCATCAATTTATAGTTGAGCTGGCTAAATGTAGCCAGAACTTCTATGCAAACAGTTTCTTTTCTCACACTTCTCACTTGTGGAAATCACTTCTGGCTCCATGCTTTCCAACCAACTTTAATCTGAAAAAATTTAAATGCAATGTCAATCGCTATCTACTATCCTCCTGAGTGCTTTTTCTCTTTCTCCTCATTACTAATGTGTCTGTTCCTAATTCCTCCACTCCTTGTAACCCATTGTGCACTAGTGGTTGTACTACTTTGCTTAGGGTGATACTGATTAAAAAAAAAAATTGTCTATTTATAAAGGATGGTAAAATTTAAATTCAACATATGTTTACCAAAAAAAAGAAAGATTTAGAAAGAACAAAAATTATTCACAGAAATACATTTGTAGTCAATATTCTTATAAAGGCATTAGTTAGATCCAGTCTAGAACAGTCTACCCCAGTGAGCAAAATAAAGGGTTCAGTTCGACATTCCAACCACCCGAAGAAGACCGGAGCGTACAATGATCAAAACATTGTAATAAATATGGCGACAAAGATGAGGACAATAGTCCGAATAATGTAAATAATGTACATAATGTAATAAATGTAAATGATGTAAATAATGTACATAATACCTCATCTCAGAAATATAAACAGATACTGAAGGATAATTAATGTTTTCTTTAGCTTGTATTAAGTTGTATATTGTAATAAACTCATCATTCTATATTTTCGGTATTTTCTCTTTGTGAAAATTTTAAAAAAATTATACTTCTAAGGGTGCCAAGTTTCCGTTTGCCTGCAGTGCCAGTGACCCTAGGGATGTCACTGGTTTGAGTACATAAGCTATACCTTCTATATTGTATAATGTTATTCTCAAATTATCTCTTCATTTCACTGCTATCAATCTTAACTGTTCTACCCATCCTTCAGTTGTCTATGGCTAAATACTAGTCATATATATTCCAACTATGTGGAAAGTATTGCATTTTATTCTTTTAAAATTTTATTAGAAACAAAGAAAAGAGTACTTAACTGTTGCATAATATCTGCCCTCCTATATGGCAGTGAATGCTGGGCAATTGCCTCATAGATGAAGGAGAGACTTGAAGCAACAGAAATGTGGTTCTACAGAATGATGTTGAGAATGCCTTGGACTGAACAGGCAAGCAATGACAAAGTTTTAGAGAAAATGAAAACAAAATTTGCACATACTTAGAATCAGAAAGAGATAATTGAAATCTCTAGGACATATGAAGAGGAAGGAGGACATGGAAAATTTGATACTCACAGGAGAGGCTGAAGGCAAAAGGAGAGCTTGAGCAAATTGATGGTGGAACAGGAATTAGGAGAGTTAACAAAAAGTCAAAATTTATATTTTTGCTTTGTTGCAATTAATACTAATGCATTTGTTTTGATCTACAATAAGTGATATTATTTCATTGTTCAGGTGTCCTCTGTCCAACCATGAATCATTATTCTATGAGTTATTCGAATTTCATTATTTTTTCAAGATGCCATATCCTTTCAGGAGATAGGTGATCATGATTCTCCAGTGTACTCTGCTATTTAGCTCATGGCTAAAGGAAGAAGAGATGCCTTTCTCAAAGTTGTTCACAATTACAAGTTCCATAATCCATTAGGGTCATAGAGGCACTTCATTTACTGAAGCCAGAATAGCAGTGGTGTGTCTTGGAGAAGTTAGCCTGACAGAGCCCAACTCTCACTAGGTTGGTTTGAATTCAGAGTTTTCCCTTTCCTAGACTAGTTACTAACCAAGGCTATAGAACCCAGTCTGTGCTGCTATTTACCCGTAACTAAGGGGAGAAGAGATAGCTTCATACCTTTCCCAATGATATTAGCATGTAATTGAATGTAATGAACTTGACTGGAATTCAAAATCAGCTCTCCAATTCCTCAATCTGATCTGCTAACCATTGCTCAATCGTGCCTCCATAAAGTCTGCTGGTACGAAGTAAACACAACACACTCATCGTGAATTTGAAATTCAGCTCACTGATTTCATTCTGTGATATCTGTTACACTACCCTCACATCCTCGGCATTTTCTTCTTCTTCTTCTATGTGCCATGTCTTTTCAGGATGTTAGCGACCATGGCTCTCTACAATTTAATGCGTTGGCTACTTCGATAATTAACTGCTTGTGTAGGTGTGTTTGTGTGTGAAGTGTCCACAGCCCTTTTTGCTTCAGTGGGAAAAGTTCATGGCACCCACTTCGAAAGAAGGAAAACAGGAAGAGTGTTACATTAGGACTTTGCTTGTTTTTATACCCCAGAGCTGCTGCAGATACTATGTTTATTAAGGGACTACAATAGTTACCTGCCCTTGGTAGACAAGATTTATTATCTTGTCTTTTTGTTATCTCTCTTAAATCCTGTTCCATTATCCATTTACTCAAGTTTTCTGGATAGGTTATGTATTGTTTTCCCCTGTCCCTCTTGTCTTTAGTTTTTCCTGTGAGTGTCAATTTCTCCAAGCCTGCTGTCCTCATTATATGTCCTAGAAATTTTAATTGTCTCTTTCTGATGTTAAGTATAAGTGTCCTTTTTGTTTCCATCTGGATCTTTAAATTGCAAGTTAATTATGACAATAAAACTAATGTTATTTGAGAGAATATAAGTAACAGGACTGAACAAAGTAAATCTATATTTACTTGATATGAAATAGGATTATTCAATACAAATAATAATTTTATTCTGACCTGTATAGTTTCCTTTATATTTGACTGACATTTTCTTAGCATCTATGCTGCAAATCTCTGTTGGTTCCCGGGAAAATAGATGTATTTAATTATATGTCACTCCTGAAATAAATCAAGATTCCGACACAAAACTCCATTGGCAGTAAACATCCCATGCGTCTGACATATCATCAAAAGAGGCACTTATTGTGACCTTAATTGTATTACTAAATAATGTGATAAATAAAGTGATACACAGACATTCCAAATAGAAAGGATGTTTACAAAGATTAGCTTCATCGGAATTTATGGCAGGAATATACTGTTTTTCCAATCTTCTATGTGAGGAGGATATGACTGTCTTGAAGATCTGCATTCACAAAATTTGCAATTATATCTTGAATTCTTGTCACTGGTGGGAAATAAACAAATAAACCATATGCCAGACTACTATTGGGAAATGCACAACCATATCATGGATCCTGACCATTGAAGGGAAACACATTACAATATACTAAGTACTGATCACTGGTGGGAAGTTAGTTATGACTACTGACCACTCATAAGAAATACATGACCACATCTTGAATCTTGACCACTGTTGGGAAATATGTAACCATATCATAAGTCTTGACCAATGAAGGGTAATATATTACCATATCCTAAATACTGACCATTGGTGAGAAATGCATAACTACATACTGAACCTGTTGGTAAATATGCAAGCACATTATGAATATTGACCACTAGAGAGAAATACATTATCATATCATAAAAACTGATCACTGGCAAGAAATACATGGCCACATTATGAGTCTTGACCACTGTTAGGAAATATGCAATCACATCATAAATGTTGACTAACAGAGGAAAATATATTACCATATCCTAAATACTGTCCACTTGTGGAAAAAGCAGGAGCATATCCTGAATTTCAACCACTGTTGGTAAATATGCAACCATATCATGAATCCTGACCACTGTAGGGAAATATATAACCATATCATAAAAAATGACCACTGTTGGGTAATCTATAAAAACATCATGAATCCTGATCACTGGAGGGAAATACATTATCATATCATAAAAACTGATCACTGGTGAAAAATACATCACCATATCATGAACTTTGACCACTATTAGGAAATATGCAACCGTATCATCAATCTTGACTAATGGAGGGAAATACATTACCATATCATAAAAATTGACCACTGGTGGGAAATGCATGACCACATTTTGAATATTGACCACTGGTGGGAAATATTCAACCATATCATGAATCCTGACCACTGGAGGGAAATACATTACCATATCATAAAAAACTTACCATTGATGCGAAATGCATGTCCACATCTTGAATCTTAACCACTGTTGGGAAATATGCAACCATATCATGAATCTCAGCTGCTTTTTTTAAGAAAGAAACACTCATATCCTGATTTCTGATCAATGGTGGTAGAGGAATAACCATATCATTCTGAATCCTGGTCACTGGTGGGAAATACATGACTATATTCTAAGTACTGGTCACTGATAGGCAATGCTGTGTTATGTAATCAAATGCCTTCCTGTAGACTAAGCTGTTCTGTTTCTTTGAGTTGACTTCCTGCAATAAGGTTTCTGTGATGAGCAGCTGGTTCTTACACCTGTAGCTTTCCTGTTATTACAACTTGTTTGTTTTTATGTTAACAGATTATTTGAATCATTAAAGCTGAAAGTCTTTATGACAATGATAGAGGTGAAGCATTTTTATATTGCTGTTAGGCAAGCGATGTTTCTGCATTTATTCACATTCTCCTTTGTCTTTGGAAATAGATTCTTGATTACCCATGTGATACATTTGAAACTTTTCTCTGCATTCTTGATATCATTAAAGGTTGCTGTGAAGTCTTTCTAGATATGAGATAGGTTCTTGACTTTGAAGTCAGCAATTATATTGAGCAGTATTAGGGGTGTTGGTTACATGGCAATTTTTGGTTGTTTATAGGTTTTACTTGTCTAATTGTTGCTCAATACTTGTAGTTCCCTTGTTGTGTCCATTGTTTTTCTTCAAGACCTTACACAGAATTTCCTTACTCCTTTGATAGTAGATGCTACATTGCTAACCTTAACCACTGCTTAACTCACAAAAGAATCTTGTTTTGCTGAAAGAATTTGTTCCTTTTATAGAATCTTCTGAATTCCTTATTATTATTATCAAAAACATATCCTCTTTTCTTCACGCTTTTCTTATTTGTATAGAGATACACATATACATACATTTTTGTAAATAAAAGTAAGTATACAGAGAAACAGATAACAAAAGCAGATACCTTCTGATTTCAAAGCAAAAATGTGTGTGTATGATGATCTTTTTATCTATCTGTTGTAGCCTTTTCTTTTATATCTATCGCAGTCTGTTCATATCTGTTTAACTATCTATCTAGACACATTGTGTGTCAATCTGTCTTTAACATTTTGGAAATACAGTGTATGCAGTGTGTGTCTGTGACTGTATTTATATTTATATATATATATATATATATATATATAAATTTGCTTTTATCCATCTATCTATTGTAGTCTTTTTCTAACTATCTATTGCAATCTGTTCATATCTATCTATCTATCTATCTATCTTCAGATCTATCTATATCTGTTCAGACACATCTAACTCGCTAGCTGTGTCTGTTCATATCTATCTATCTATCTATCTATCTATCTATCTATCTATCTCTATTCAGATCTATCTATCTATGTCTATTCAGATCTATGTTCAGATCTATCTATCTATCTATCTATCTCAACCAGTTTACTCTTGAGAAACCCTTAAAATATTTTTCACATCTCAGGGAACACCTGCATAAAAATTATTATATCTCATTATTAATGTCTATTTCTTTTATATTTTCCTCATTGTTCCCATGTTAAACTTAATATAGTTTTTTGAATAACTGTTTTAAGTAAAAAAAAATAACCCCCTTTTGTGTCATTTTATTGGTAATGGAAAAAATTATATTGGTTATATTTATGAAACCTCATACCAAGATTTTTATTCACAAAAATATCTGTAAACACACACAACAAAATATAATTCACCAATATCACTTATATATAAAACACACACACAAATATATATATATATATATATATATATATATATACAAGCAACATGGCCTGGCATTGCCCGTGCTTGATTCAAAAATCATACAACTCATGCAACAATCGCTATCACTTGACTTAAAATATTTTTGCCCTTCCTTATCTTTAAAGGAGTGTCCTTTGCCGTGCTGATGTTGCTACATGCCTTACTTTTTGCCTATCTCACACTGCGATTTTTTTCTAAGCTCTATACTAAACATTAAATCTGTTACAAAAAAAGAACTAAACAAAATGAACACAAAACGATCAGCTTTAAAAAAGGACTCATAACTGGAAAAACTGAATGAAAAAAGAATGTTAACAACAAATACTTTTTCACACCCAACCCAGTTCTGCGGAATCAGAATCAATGTTGAGTTGAAGCAAGTGACTGAGCTAATTGGAGTAAAGTGCCATGCAGATTTAAATTTTTCCCACTTGTGACAAAAGCAGCTATCGATTTTTTTGCATGCTAGTTAATATTTGTGTCAGTCAGCTGTTGGTTCACATGCTGGCCAATAGAATCTTCCCACCTATTCATGGCAACCATCTATAGGCTCTCACTCTGGCCAGTAGAAAATGGCTGCAAACTACATGAAAACTGCTGTGGAAGCATGAAAAAATCAATTATTTCCACTATCGATGGGAGTTGGGAAATGCAAAGTTGGTCTTGGCCTTCCAGCTAACTTGGAGCATGTGCATGTAAATTTTGGTGCAAATCCATCAAAAATTGCAGCTGTGCATTTGTTACACACACACACATCCTACCTTTTATAGATAGAGATATATATAACACACACACACATATATGTATATAACACATATATATAACATATATAACACATATAAACAGAATGAAAGCAGATAACTATTAAAACAATTATTGTTTATTGACAATGTTGAAAAAAGGCATAAGATAAATCAAAGTACAATGTCTTATGTACAAATATATGGGCAAAGGAAATGTTATTTTTGAAGCTGTTTTAGATAGTGAAATTGGTTCCTCTGATGTGAAACATGTGCTTGTCTTTTGCTACACAAATACTTAATTCAATATTAAATTCTAGATAAACACATACAGATTTCCTTTTCAATTGAAAGGAGACAATTTCTGTCTTTGCTTTTGATATGTATTAAATACTATCTTAAAAGCTCCACTCCATGTGGGCTTTTAAGCTAGCTCATACAGAGGGTTAATTGGTCCCCTAAAGAGACGTCTGCTTCAGCTTAGAAACCAGCAATGATAATTTTGAAGAAATAATTTTGAATCCCTCAATTCACTCAATGAAACTTCAAAACCTCACTTTAACTCTGATTCAGGCTATAAGTCTAATTCAGGCCAAAACTCTGATTTGGACCAAAACTCAGATTTGGGCTGAATCACTGATTTGGCCTGAAATTCCAATTCAGGCCAAAATTTGAGTTCTTCAATTCACAAACTCTGTGGAGCTTCAAAACCTCATGTCACAAAACCTCTCACTCTAACTCTTGATTCCTTGATATTTTAAAGAAATAAAATTGATTTCCTCAATACACAAAGTTTTAGAGATATTTTAAACTGAATTTAAAACAAATTTTTTTAAAATTCACATAGTTTTACTGTTACTTTAAATTCAATATAAATTAAACCTTTTAAAATGACTAAATTTTTTTTCAGTTTCTTTAAAATTTGAATTTTTAACTGTTCCTTCCTCATCTGGACACAGACCTCAATGTTGGATGTTCAAGCACCAGATGACGGGCAAATTTTCAATTCCCTGATTCCAAAAAGTTATAATATTTCTACTAGTTAGAAGGGTTTCAGACACACGCATGGACAAATAGGATTTTCCACTTATTTATTTAGAAGAAGAAAGTTTTGTTTATACACGTAAGTGGTTGAAAACTGCAGCATATATATTTATTTTGCTTTCTTATTAATGGAAGGATACAAAGAAATGCAGAACTTATCCAGAGATAGGTCAGTAAATCTCATCTTGAGTGTACGATCAAACTGCAGCTTATGTTCTTCCTCATCTTTTAAAATCACGTTTTTAGGATGATCAGAAGACTCACCCAATCAAACACTTAAAAGGGATTGAAAATAATGTCTGATTCTGACTCACAGTTCCTCTAGGTGGATTTCAATACAATTTGAAATTTGCTGATATCACTCTTCACTTTTGTTTGATTACTGCCTCTTGATGATAATCACAAGCAGAGATTTTGAATTACCTCCCCCTGACAATAATGACAGACAGTGAGATTTAAAAGAATTCATTTCTTTCTCAATGACTTTTAATAGTGAAAGGAGATATTCTTTCCACTCCTGCAAAAATGAAAGTATCTCAACTACAGACACTGAAGGTTGCTTTGAACTCTTCACATTTAATTTCATTTCTCATTTTTCCTTTAGTAAAATGTCCAATTGATATATGTGTTAACATTTCTTTTCTCATATTCTATATCTTATTTTTCCTTTGGACCTACACGAATATGCCAATTCTTGTTTGCAGGTCAAATGTACCAGGAGCATAAAAAATCTCATCAAAATGTTGAAGCCCATGTAGGGAGACCACAGTTGTTTTCCCTTTGCTTTAGCTCATGAGAGTTGTGGCCCCTTTTAGTGAGTAGAACTCTTCTGCCTTTTTTTGTCTTTACTTCCGTTCTGGAAGGAATGGCTTCTTTTCCTTTATGACCACCAGGGTGTCCACGCACATGGAAACTGGTCAACATGTGTACGGCCTAGTGAAAGAAAAACTGTTCACTCATCTGCGAACGACCAAAGGCCATAAAGTTGGTATGTTATTTCTTTGTTCTAATTCTGTAAATCTCCTCGTTCCTTTGGGACAATATGAACAATCATTTGTTTTGGGACATATGTGAATCTTTTGAATTTATGTACATAAGTTGTTTGCCTTATTAAATATTTTGTTTGTTACGCTTGCGTATTTCGTCTTTTTATATTCGTATTCAGTGCTAGTGTATCACTGGCTACACTAATGCTGATATTAGTATCGGTGTGCTACTGGAAGACTAAAACACATTATTTTTCCTAATACAAAAGAGTCGGTAAACTCTGTGTGGCAGATACCACCCATACTAATACCCACAACATTTTTAAACCATAGCTGAAACATCTCAAGATTTCCTTTTGCAACCTGATTTTTCCAAAGATTCAGTTTTCTTTTAACTGCAAGAATCTTGTCCCTTGAAATCAATACATTTTTTCTGGGGCCTTGCAGTGGTTTGTTCAGCCAATTCATGTGATGAGAAATGTCTGCTAAATAGGCCAGGCTCTACAGCCATTTTTTTTTTTATCTTCAAAGCTCCTGGAAAAATCTTGCTCATTTTCTTGAAACTATTCCTGCAACTCATCTTTCAGCTCAAACACCCTATTTAGAACTCTTCCTCTACTCAGCAATGATAAGAGATTTACGCTCTCTTTGTCCAGGTTTCTATATGACCTTTTAAACATTCTGTTGAACTGGTCTTTGTTTAATAAAGTTGACCATTTTTGTAGCATTATCAAAACCCTTTCTCAATTCACCTCCCAGAGATGTTGAAATCAACACCTATCTGAAGAAAGCAATGTGCTGAGGTAACATCAGGATTTTATTGATTTACAGGGGAACCAAAGCCTTTTCTGGAGCCAACCATTGATGGGGCACCATCAGTACAGATTCCAATACAATTCTTCCAGGAGACGCCTCTTGTTTCCCAATGTGAGAATAAAATATTGACTAAATCTGTTCTTTTGCTTGTCTTGGGCAGTTCTTTGCAACAGAAGTTTTTTTGAATTTCAACCTCATTGACAAATCTCACAAAAGCTACAACATAGCATTTATTGGCAAGATCTATTGATAGATCAACTTGGATAGAAAAACTGCTATTTTTCAGTTTATCATACAAAATCTCTTCAGCATCATGTAACATGGCATCAATATGTCGATTTTTGTACTGTCTGAAAGAGGAACAGTTTCAATTTCTTGTACTGCATTTTGTCCAAGCTATAATTTTACCCACTATAATTTTACAAGCTGTTGCTGTTAGGTTCTTAAAAACTGTGCAACTTTTCCTTTTTTTGTGCAATAATTTCTGCTAACAAATAACTAGAGCCTTTTCACTGACACTGTCTTTATTTACAAAAGTTGTACTCTGTTTATTCTAAGATTTCAATAGCCTTTTAAAATAATCAACAATATTATTAGCATCTCAACTTGAGTCACTTTTCCACTGCCATGAAGTTGCTTCCCTGTGCCTTTTCTATAAATACTTTCATGGTAATTGTTCGGATGAACTATTCACTATGTTACCTTATCTTTATAAATTTAAGCTCAGTACTACATTGGCATCAAGGACTCATCAATTCACAGTTAAACTGGCTATATTTAAGCATAAGCTCTATGATAACAGTTTCTTTTCTCACACTTCTCGCTTGTGGAACTCTCTTCCAGCTCCATGCTTTCCAGACAACTTTGATCTTCAAAAATGTATATACTAGGTCAATCATTATCTACTGTCTTTTTCATTATTCTTCTGTTGTTCTTGCTCCTTAATAATGTTTCTCTTTTTTCTTATTCTTTTACACTCAGTAATCTCTTGTGTTTTAGTGGCTTTATTGCCTTGTGTGGGGTGATATGATTGAAAAAATAAAATAAAATAATCAGCAGTTTTATCTTTCATATAACTGTAATTTGTTGTAAAGCATCTTCTCAGCTTTGCTGCAGCCATTGCTGCATTTGAAAATTGTTTGTCACAGAGAAGATACAGTGGAATAAACAGCTTATATCACCAGTCCATGTAAAGTCCATTGATAAATAATTTCCATCAGAAAGACGGAACATTTTTGTGCCCATCATTGCAATAGGGCAGTAGAATTTGTCAGGAAATTCTTTATCACTGGCCTTATCAGAATTGTCTGAATGTTTCCTCTTCAAAAATCATCATATTTGACAGATATTTCAGTAAAAACTGGTAAACAGAACAAATAAAGCAGAAGCAAATAAAAGTAAAAAGAAAAAGTAACCTTGAGAGAGAGAATGAGAAAGAAAGAAAGAAAGAAAGAAAGAAAGAAAAGGAGAATGAAAGAAAGAAAGAAAGAAAGAAAAGGAGAATGAAAGAAAGAAAGAAAAGGAGAATGAAAGTGAGAGAAAGAGAGAGAGAAAAAGTGAGATAAAGAAAAGTGAATGAAAGACCAGACACCTGAAGCAAATAAAGGTACATAGAAGAAGCAACTTTGAGAGAGAAAAAGTGATAGAGAAAGACAGAGAAGAGGAGAGAAAGAGATAGAAAGAAACCGAGAGAGAGAGAAAGAGAGAATGAAAAAGGAGAGAGTGAAAGAAAGAGTAAGATAAAGAGAGAACATAAAAGAAAGACCTCATATCTGAAACAAATAAAGCTAAACAGAACTAAACTTGAGAAAGAGAGAAAGAAAAAAGGAGAGAGAGAAAGTAAGGGAGATAGAGAGAAAATGAAAGAAAGACCTCATACCTGAAGCAAATAAAGGTAAATAGAAGAACTAACATTAAGAGAGAGAGAGAAAATGAGTGAAAGAAATAGAGGAAGAAAAAGATAGAGAAAGAAAGATAAATAGAAAGAAAGTGAGAGTGAATGAAAGAGAGAAAAAAAAAGAAAGGGAGAGAGAGAAGAGAGAATGGGAAAGAAAGACCTCACACCTGAAGCAAATAAAAGTAAACAGAAGATATAACCTTGAGAGAAAGAGAAAAAGAAAGAAAGAAAGAAAGAAAGAAAAAGAGACTTCTCAAAAACTTAAAGAAAAGATAGTAAAAAAGAATAAATTTTTAGAATTCATATAACACCTCTAAATTCTGGATAAAATTTTACTGAATAATGTGGTTGTGTGAGGGACTGTACCTGCACAGATTTAAGGTTGCATCTCATTGAAAACACCAGTTCCCATACAATCATCAAAGTTAAGCAACATTGAGCCTAGTCAGTATCTAGATGGATGATTGATTGGGAATACTGGATGTACAGGTGGTGTAATGGATAATTAGAGAGGTGAATTCCAATTCCTGCTGGATGCATGATATTCACTTATGCACAAATACTCTTGGGAAAGGTATGAATCCATCTCTTCTCCCCCTAACTATAGATTAACTAGTAAAACAAGTTTCACTAAATCATTATCTCCAAAACCCCAAAATTCTTTTGATCTAAAAACTATTTTCTGGTTTTAATAACTTGCAATGGGTTGATAAGTCATAAAAAAATGAATGAATTAATCAATGTACCTGCATGCCAAGAAGCATGGAGAATAAAGATGGACTCTGTGCATGCATTCTGTACTTGAATGAGTCACTCTGTGATATATAAATCTGCCACGTACAGGTCTTGTACATTAACCAGTGGAGTAAATGCTGTATAGGCATCACTAAATACATTCCCTATGATTATTATAATTTGAAATAATATAAGATGTTGAAGCCTTTTTTTATAACAACCTAAGATTTTACAACAGTATGCTGTATGTATAAAGGTAAAAGACAATAGGAAAACTGTACTAATAACCAACATTTTTCATCCAATGGGGACTTTTTCAAGGCAAAAACGAAATGAATTTATTGAAAACAAAGTAACTATTAACAACAAACAAAATGTCCTTATCAACTAGAAAAATTTAGAAAACACTATTGTATTCATATTGCATATTCAGTATGCCATATGTGTATAGTAAAATTACAAATATAAAATTAAACAAAATTACTCAAAAATGTATTGCCTGTTTCTCATGGAACCTCAAGCAACCTCTTGCATAACCCCAGGGTTCCAGGGAACACCAGTTAAAAACACTGACAAATTCTGTGTCTCAGTAGCCAGTGTGTCTTTAGCACTTGGGAAATACAGTCAGTGAGTATAACTGTTTAACTATCTATCAGATATCTATCTCTGTTCATATCTATCTACCTATTTTAGTTTGTTCATATCTACCTGCCCAAGTCTTTGCTTACTTACTTATTTATCTATCTGTCTAGGTAAATTAATTGTGTTTTAGTAGCCCCTCTGTCTTTATCACTTGGGAAATACAGTGTATGCAGTGTGTACGATAATTAATTCTATGAATTTTACTACAGAATGCAGGAAGATGAGAGCAATTTTTTTTTTGCAACAAAAGATTAAAATCACCATGCTATCATAAGATTCAAACCTCAGGGTAAAAATTGAGTTAGTGATCAGCGCAAAATTATCCTGACTATCTCCTCATTTATCTTTCTTTGCTATCTTTGCAAACAAATATATATATATATATATATATATATATATATATATATATATATATAAGTGATAGAAATTATTAGGAGGATTTGAGATAATCATAATTAAGTAGTTCATCAAGTCTAGAAGAAACCTCAACAGAATGCAGAAAAGCACTGGACAGCCATTTCGTCCTATATTTGGGACTCATCAGCAGTGCACATCCACTACCAAGAATTGAAACCCGGACCATTACAATACAATGTAAACGTCACACCAACTGTACCAACAGACCTCAGTGACAAAGAGGTAATGAATTAGACTCGATATAGCACTGCTCGATCACATATTCACCGTAGTAAATCACAATTCTCGGTAGTGGTTGCGCACTGATGATGAGTCCTAAATATAGGACAAAATGGCCATCCAGTGCTTTCTGCATTCTGTTGACTCTATAATCATTCTCTCGACTCAATGACTCTGTTGATTCTTTAAATATTATCTAGACTCGATGAATTACTGAATTATGAATATATATATATATATATATATGTATATGTATGTATGTATATAGACAAACATAGGGCAATATACATGTAAAAATATGATGGCTTTAACTTGATTTCATGTAATGTCATCACTTGATTTATTCTCAAATATGTGCAGTGCAGAGGTGGTTTTTTAGTCTTGCTAAGGTCTTACAATTTTTTGTGCAGATGTGGCAACATTAAGTTCTTTTTGCAGTAGTTGTGGCATTAATATTTTTGTACACTTTCAGTGTGTAGCATCTTTGATAATTTTTGAGACCCACAAATACATTCATTATACATATCAAATTCATTGCCAACATTCTCAGGGAAATTAACATCAAGACCCTTACAATGTTCGTAAGTTAACCATATATATAATTGTCAGCCACCCTTGTTTTCCAGGCACACCCTTCTGCTAGAGGGGTTAACCAATCTCTGTCAAAGACACTTGCTCAGACACATTTGTTTAACACCCATTGAGAGCACAACCATGGTTTATACTGCAACTATGCTAGACAGACCTTAGTTACAATTTCTGTGAGAGAGGACTTCATTTTTTATAGGATCTGAAGTTTGAACAACACCAAAACCTCAGTCACAATGACATATCAATTTGTTTGCACATCCATTGATGAATATTCCATCTACACTATTTCATTCACAAAGCTTGTCACCTGCACACACACACACACACACACACACACACACACACATATATATATATATATATATATATATATATATATATATATATATATATATATATATATATATGAAAGTCAAATCTTCAAAGCAAGTTCAAATTTTGGACAATTCTTTTTTATTCTAGTTATGGATGTTCCGTCTACCCAATTTCTCTCACAAACTTTGGGTCAATTTGTGATGTGGTTTTCAGGTAGATTCCAAAGGTGCCACACACTGGGATTGCCTCCCCAGACCAATAACACACACACACACACATATATATGTGTGTGTATATATATACATATATATATATATATATATATATTTGACTTATGAATGCAAATCCTTCCCAGATTCTTGAAAGTTCATATCTGCTCATAAACAAACAGATTCAGTGAAACTGGTTTAAAAATTTTAAACAGTTATGGTACAGGTATTATTTTTCATACGAGGATATACAGATGTCATCCACATCATCATGTTAATTATATATCATACATTGTGAGTGCAAAGATACCCAGATTCTTGAAAGTTCATATCTACTCGTAAACAAAGCAATTTCTAAAGAAGTAATGGACTTTTTTTATTTATTAATCTGACAGATTTTATCACTTTAAATGTTATTTGAGTAGATGCTCCATATATTTATTAAACAGTATATTTACTTACTTTCGTCTACTGGCCTGAATATTCGAGAAATTTTATTAAAGAAAAATATGTGCTCTCTGAAAATAAATAGATTTGTCCCAGCTTGATCCGTGATACTTTCTGTGGCTGAGGCTGTCTAATATATATATATATATATATATATATATATATATACATACATATGTGTGTGTGCACGCATGAGGGGGTACTGAAAAGTGTGTATATCAGAAAGTGAAATCTTCAAGCCAAGTCCAAATTTTGGACAATTCTGTTTTTATTCACTTGGGTTAAATAGTATGGTAGACTGAGTTCTCTTGCCTTGGTTGGAGTAGAAGGAAAACTTTGAATACTCTGAGAAGAGCCATTTTGAGACTTGTGGTACACTCTGCACCATTTCTCTGGTAATGTAAGCTGGTTCTTCACAAGCCTTCACTACCATAATCAAATAATTTGAGTAAGTAGTCTAACAGCTTAGTTGTATACTGAACTGTTCGGTTCTCACACACTAAATCAGTACACACACACACACACACACACACACACACACACACACACATATATATATAAAGAGAGAAAGAGAGAGATGAATACAGAGAACTGGTGCACAGTATCCCACAAGGTCCAAAAAATGACCTTGTGCAGGTTTTAAATTCAGAGTTTTCTTTCTCTGAGACCAATTACAATCCAAGACTGTAGAACTCAGGCTTTTCTGCTATTTACCCATAGCTGGGGTTGGGGAGAAGTGATGGATTCATACCATTCCCAAAGGTATTAGCATGTAAGTCAACTGGAATTTGAACTCAGCTCTCCACAATGCACAATATATATATATATACTGTTTTACTGATTCTGTGTGATATATATATATATATATATATATATATATATATATATATATATGAATTATTCATACAAAACTAATGCAAAGGTTAATGATTTAAATGGCGAGAGAATATCCATCTTGCAAACGATTCAAATAGTACACAAAAACCAATAAATCATTTTGCATGCATTTGATCCTTACACATATAAATTTCGATGTCCTTATTATTACTAAGAGAAAAACCAAGAACAACGTCTATTATATACAGACGATCGTCAGTAGGAACAGACGAAAGTTTGGTTTTTCTCTTAACTAATACGGCAGAAATTTATATAAACGAAATGCTATTAAAAAATGAGTTAGAGGTTTTTGAACGCGCCAAAAATTTGCGTTGGATGGATTCTCGCCATTTAAATCATTAACCTTGCATTAGTTTTGTATGAATAATTCATGCTATTTGTAAATTGATTGCACGTTTATTGTAATATATATATATATATATATATATATATATATATATATATATATATATAAAAAAATTATAGTTTTAAGGTATGCTATATGAATGGGTAAAAGTACTCAATATAGAGAGCATATAATAATATAAAAATTAGCATATGTGATATATATATATATATATATATATATATATATATATTTTTATGAAATGAAGTGCAACAATTAATTTAGGCCAGTAAATGTAGTTAATACTCTTTATTATAAACAGAGAATTTACTTAAATATTTGTATCTATAAAAATAACGTATAACCAGAAAATATATTAAAATATATATATATATATATAATATATAAACACAAATATAAATTTGCATTTGTGTCTCAGTTCTCATGCAATCACTGCTTAAGCAACATCAAGTCAGGTTCGTACCTCGATGGGAGATTACTTTGGAATATCAGGTACTGTAAGATTGGATGTGTAGATGCTGTAATGGATAACGGCTCAGAATTGGAAAACCAAGAGCTGTTTTAATTTCAGTCAAGATCACTATATCTATTTACATGCAAATACCCTTAGTAAAGGTATGAAGTCACTGCTTCTCCCCCAGCTATGGGTTAATTAGTAGGACATGTATCAGTAAATTATTATTATCTCAAAAAAATATTGATGTAAAAAAACAATCAAAATCAGACATGTGTGGATAATTGATTAACCAAGTGAAAAAAATTCTGTCCATTGTGTTTCAGTGGGACTTCATCAGGACAAAATGCATTACATAGAATTTTCTCGTATTTGTCACTCAGTTACTCACAATTAGTCTCATATACAAAGTTTAAACATCATATTTATTCCACATACATATGTACATATTATTTATGTACATATATTTATATGTCTGCATATATATGCATTTTTCTAAATATAATAGAGAAATTGTACCCATTATATTTTTTTGTAACTGATAGATTAATTTCCGTATATTAGAAATGAAATTATGAAGGAACTATCTACACTCCATGTAACTATACTTAATATTTCAAAATTTCATCTGACTTAAATAATTGTTAAGATTCAAAGTCTATTTTGTTAAAATCCTGCAATGATTTGTACCACAATTTCAAATTGGATGCGTTAGTTACTTTTCTAAATGCTCAATTTTTTAATCTATTCAATGTCACATAAACCTACATCAAAATGATGTTACTTTTGAATTTAAATGTTTGTGATGTCATTGGAATGTGGTGTCATATGTCTTCTGAGAATTTACATACATTTTAGAGTCTATGTTCATAAATTTTAAGAAAAACATGTCTAAAACAATATTTTATGCTTAAACACATGCAATATACATAAGTCGAAAATGTTTAAAAAGTGCTTTAATCACTACTTCATCCATAGTAAATTTGTGTCCATGTGCTTACAACTATTCTTGACAGATCTTCTATTATGACAATGTGAGATATTTAATAACAAAAATGATGGAAACAAGAAGAAAAAGAATCTAAATGAAATTAGCTTGATTATATATCCAAAACACATTATTAAAAAAACAAAATCGAAAATTCTTTATTAAGAAAAATTTTTTTTTTAAATATTTTCAAAATTTAAAATTCCCATTGTCTCTCATTCATGCCCATGTGTAGTCACATCAATGTAAACAAACATTATTTATTTATTTCTCTATTGGATCATGTTATTTAAGTCATGGCAATTATGTGTGAAAAATAATATATCACCTAAATGAAAAATAATATATCGCCCAAATGTCCACCAAATCTGCAACGAAAAAAAAAATAATCAATAGAAGCTTAAACTTAATTCACATTTAAAATCGGTCCAAGTTATTGGAATACGTTTTATATGTCCAGATATACCATATATCTGGATGAAGAGGATGTGCTTCCTTAAACAAAATGGAAAATAGAACTGTGCCATCTGTATCTGCATCATTCTGTGTCTGAGCCGTAGCACATGGGATCTTTCAGTGGTTTTTCTGCTGCAAAGTGATATGCAGATTAGATCTCTGTTGGGCAATGCATTTCATAAGATTTGTCAAATATGCAGGCTGATAGACATAATACGCACTGTTGAATAAATAAAAATGGAAAATGTATTTCAAATAAAGAATATCCAATATGATAAAGTTTGAAGTAATAAAAATATCAGATATAAATAAACCTATTAATTCTTTAGAAAAAAAAAATATATATATATATATATATATATATATATAAGATTGCCAAGTGCATGAAACTCTGAGTTGCACTAAATGCTGAAGAACAAATATATATATATATACATTTGTTCTTCAGCATTTAGTGCAACTCAGAGTTTCATGCACATGGCAATCTTGAGTTTTCATCTTGTACCTGACAATTACCACATTGCACCATAAATACTCAGAATTCAAAATAGGCTTCATTTCTGTAGCAAACCTGAAACTAAATATGTGAATGTATCTTTTCTTCTTCCCATTATGGTTTAAATAGCAGGTGAGACTAATTTCTTTCACCTTGGGTGACTGCAAGTCTAGGAGAAGACCAATTTTGAATTCAAAACTGCAGAGAAAGCAATAGAGAAACACACCATCTTTCCAAAAGAATTTATGGAATTTGTAACGAGCATGCGCGGAAATGTCCTTGAACTGCGTGTGTGTGTTGTCGCCAGGCACACCTTGGAGTACCATAATGGACTCAACCGAGGACTACAAGAAGAAGACGCGCGAGTCGTTTGGCGTCTTTTCTTGGGCGGCACAAGCCGTTGCGGTCAGCCGTCCCTCGGCAGCAGTCTTGGGTGCCGTTTTGCTCGTTTGCTGTTGTAAAGTGTTCATTCGCAAGAAGGCATTCGTTTTTGGTGTCGCAAGTAGGCGTTCATTTTTGTGTCGCAAGTAAGCATTTTTGTGTCGCATTCGTTTTTGGTTCGCAAGAAGGTGTTCATTTTTGTGTCGCAAGAAGTTGTTTTTTTTTGGGGGGGATCCCCCCCGTTTTCTTGCACAGAATTCACAGATAATAAATAAAAGAATTCTGTGAAAAGCCATGATCAAACCATCATCATCAAGAGATATGGTCTTTAAAGAAAGTTAATGAAGTCCAAACAACACAATATATGATAATTCATGGTTAGACCAAAGAAACATCAAAAGAGAAACATGATCCCTTATCACTGCAACAAAAATAGAGTTGCTAGCCCCATACCCAACAAGTTTTGAATACAAAGTTATCCTTCTCCAAGACTGTTTACCAACCAAGGCTAGAGAGACCAGTGTGCTCTTTAACCCATAACAGGGGGAAAAAGAAATGAATTCACACTATTCCCAAAGGTATTTATACAAAAGTGGATGCAATAGTCTTGTCAGGATTTGAACTAAACTCAATGATTGAGAAATGCGTTTCTGCGCTGATAGCCAATATGCTACACATGCACATCCATTTGTTAATCTTAGCATATGAAGTCTAACACTATATCTTAGAAATTTCAAAGAGACAAACTTGTTCATTATAATTTGAAACAAAGAAGACTGATAAGAATTGCATCTATTTTAGTGTTTACAACTAAGTGAAAATTGGTTCAGTCATGTCAATTTTATTTTTTTTCATTTTTAGCTGTCTGCTGATTTGTAAGCTTTCTTTGATCTCACATTCAAATCTCCAAAGCCATTGAATTTAATGTCTTCCATCCCTTAACATGATCATTATATCTTTTTTTTAAATTGAAATGACTGTTTTCATTTTAATTTTGATCATTATAATAATATTCGAGTGGAGTAATGGATAGCACCTCAGATTGAGGAATTGGAGAGCTGATTTCGAATTCCAGTCAAATCCATTACATTCACTTACATGCTAATACCCTTGGGAAAGGTACGAATCCTCTTTACACACCAGCTATGGATAAATAGCAGGACAGACCAGGTTCTATAGCCTTGGATGGCCACTGGTCTACCACAGAAAGAAATGGCATCCTACTGCAGGAAAAATATCTGTCTCATCAGTTATGTATCAAAAGATACATGATCGCCTAAGCGTGTATCACATATGGCAGATGACTGGCTGATGATAATATTAGTCACAACAATAATTGCAGGAGGAATAATAATAATAATAATTACCATCTTGTAACAGCCACTAGTATAAAACTCCGCATGATATAGTGGACCAGTAACTGCACAGAAAAATATATACAACTTTTACTGGAAGGAAACTTTAAGAAATTGGTATGAACATCACTCAGACAGGGTTACAGACATAGAACCTGTAACAATTTTATGGAACTTTGATTGTTCTGTTTGTGTGTATTGTAAAGTCTTTAGAATACACACAAACAGAACAATCAAAGCTAATCACCCAGACATTGTGATCAAAGACCACAAGAACGGAATGTGCCTTCTTATTGACATGGAAGTCCCTACAGATTGTTATGTATCTTTGAAGATCTTTAAAAAAAAACTATCAAAATACAAGGATGTTGAAGTGGAAATCTCAAAAATGTGGCCTATGAGGACATCCATAATTCCAGTTGTAGTTTAAGCTCTTGGATTGATTGGAAAAGATTTCTGATAGACTCATTGAAGGGATTCCTTGTAACCCATACCTTAAAGAAATACCAAAAATTGTGAGTACAATTAATTAATGAGTTAGTGAGTTAATATGTGAGCTCTACTTATGAGTACACATATTACAAAGAACCTATCTATGTAAAATGTGTGGGATCTTTTTTTCTACAAAAATGCTCAGTGTAAAATGTCATGAAGACATTTCTGACCTTAGATCTCTGATTAGGACCCAAAAAATGTGTTTACAACAGAAATCCAAGGAAATAATAATAATAATAATAATAATAATGGAATACTGCTGTCATATATATTCTGGTGCCCCACTGTACATCTTGAGGTCCTAGACAAAATCCAGAGACAGATATGCAATGTGATTGGTCCTTGTTAATCTATGTGAGCTATCTCCCCTGAAAACTCTCCCTGCCGGGAAAAGGACTTCCGGTCGGAAGTCGGGGCGGCGGCCATGTTTGTTTATACTGTGTAGTGAGGAGGAGTCGTATATAAAATATTCTCTCCGTATCCGTTGTCGAAGTCCGTCATTCACATGTTTATATTTTCTTTATGCACCTTGACAGTCCTTTATTTTTATACTAACATTGGTAGCAGAGCGTAGTTATGGCTTCAAAGCACATTTCACCGCCCGTCTTAGTTAAAGACAAGTACAGCACGTGGAAAAAGAAATGCAAATCTGGGAAATGGCCACGTCGCTTGACAAAACAAAACGCGCCCCCATAGTATTTCTTTCACTGGAAGGAAAACCCAGAGAAGCTGTATTGGAATTGGAAGTTGCGGCACTTAATTCTGAGGATGGAATGGCTAAACTGTATGAAAATTGGACACGCTTTTTTTGGAAGATATAAACCAGTCGGCCTTTCTGGCCTACGAGACTTTCGAAGGATACCGGAGACAGCCTGAAACATCAGTGGAAGACTTTCTCATCAACTTCGGCCGACACGTTGCTAAGTTGAAAGATTTCAACATCATCCTGCCTGAACCGGTACTTGCATTCAGGGCATTAAAGAGTGCTTCCCTCAACCCTGAAAATGAAAGACTAGTCAAGGCGACTGTCGGCGAACTGACACTCTCTTCCATGTCGGCACAATTAAAGAAGATTATGCATAGACAGCCGTCTGAAGCTTCATCTATGAACTCTACACCCGTAGTGGTCAAGAAGGAAGATGTTATTGCCTTTACTGAAAATAAAAACGAACCTAGCGAGGTATACTATGGTCGCTCTTCCCACCGCCGTGATTCGCATTTTAATAGTCGGCGAGGAAAAACATACCGCGGTGGAAAACGACATAGCAACAACAACAACAAAACACGCTCCACTGACAAAACAAAATAAACCCGCTAGGACCCGAAGGCAACCCCACTGTGTGCTTTAAATGTGGCTGCAAATTTCACTGGTCTTACGACTGCCCTTATGTCGACGATACCCGGGACAAACATGAGGACGACGAACACGAAAGTTATCTGTATCTGGCTAACATTGTGCTGATGAGTCAGCAAAACGCGAGGCAAATGGCAACACGCTTTTGGGTGAGACACTTGGTTCCGCTGTCCTAGATAGTGGTGCATCTGGCACCGTTTGTGGAAAAAAAAAAATGGTATGAATGTTTTCTCGAAACATTAACTGATGCACAGAAAAAAAAAAATAATTATGAGGAAAGGGTAGAGAACTTTTAAGTTCGGGGATGGAAACAAGCTGGACTCTCTCTACAATGTGACTCTACCATGTGTCATCAGACATTGACGTCAATATTGTTACCGATGTTGTGGATTCTGACATTCCACTTCTCTTAAGCAAAGATGCAATGAAAAGAGCTGGAACCTGTCTCAATTTTGAACATGACAGTGTGACGATGTTTTAAAAGAAAATTCCATTGAGATGCACATCGTCTGGTCATTATCACATCCCTATCACCAGACCCCTACCAGATAGAGGTAAGCTCAAACACATTCTTCTTGTTAAAGAAATCTCCTCTAAAAAACAAATCAGAAAAAAGTGAAAGTTGCAAACAAATTACATAGACAATTTAGTCATCCCAGTAGTAAGAAATTATGTGATTTAGTTAGAAATGCTGGAATAAGAGATCCTGAATTTATGAAAATCTTACAAGCACTTCCAAATTCCTGTGAAGTGTGTATTCGCTATAAAAAAACGAACCTAGACCTATTGTTGGATTCCCATTAGGATCTTATTTTAATGAAACTGTTGCTATGGATATTAAAGAGATTAATGGTAACAAGGTACTGCACTTGATTGACCATGCTACCAGATACAGTGTCGGCGTTAGGATTCCAAGTAAAGAAAGATCGGACATCATCAGTGCTATGTTTAAACACTGGATAGCGTATTTTGGGGACTCCTGGATCTATCTTAACTGATAATGGTGGGGGAATTTGATAACGAATCATTCCGTGACATGGCACAAATTTAAATATCGTTGTGCGTACCACTGCTGCTGAAAGTCCATGGAGTAATGGCTTAAATGAACGACACAATGGGATATTGGGAGAAATGGTCAAAAAGACTGTAGAGGACACAAATTGTAGTTTTGAGATAGCACTAGCATGGGCTATAAGTGTAAAGAATACACTTCACAGTGCTCACGGATCCAGCCCCAATCAGCTTGTTTTTGGTAGGAATCCCAATCTGCCCTCCTTTTGAATGATAAACTCCCTGCATTAGAAGGTGTCTCTACCAGTGAGATAGTTGCCAGTAACCTCAATGCCATGCATGCAGCTAGAAAACAATTTATTATGTGTGAGTCTTCGGAAAAATTAAGACGTGCACTTCGTCATCAAGTTAGACTAGTACAACACAATCCTACAAAAATGGTGATGTTGTTTTCTATAAGAGAAATTTCTGTGATAGATGGCTCGGTCCAGGAACTGTCATAGGGTGGGAGCACAAGCAGGTACTTGTTAAACATGGGGGCACATATGTAAGAGTGCACCCATGTCGCCTCGTGTCTCACCCAGAAACATATCAAAGTTCCTCTGAAAGTGAGGCTATAAGTGAATCCACCACTTCACAAAGTGAGCCTGAAGGATCTTCAAACTTATCAATGTCTGACGAAAACGATGTTGCTGAAGAACCAGGAACTCTGAATGATCATGTTGCACAACATCAGACTGTGAGAGAGGCACACGTACTACCAAAGCAAAAATCCAATTCACAAAACAATTACGCTTCCCAAGCCAGGACAATCCATTAAATGCAAACTTGCCAATGATGATGATTCGAATGGCGAACATTGAACGTCATAAGTAGGGCAGGCAAAGCTACAGGTAAAAACAAGCATTTAATGAATGTGGCTATGGAACAAGGTGAACCCTTCTGGCTAGAC